AGAAATTGCAGATAGAGAGAAGAGGAAAGAACAATGGGTTTTTTCAGGTTTTGATCTGAAGAAGAAGAAAGATGGGTTTGACTTTTGGGAGAATAAACGTTGCTTTTTTTTTTTGGAAGAGAAGAAACAAACTCATAAAAAGCAATTAATGTCTAAATTACTTAAAGGTTGGGCAATTACAAAAATAGGCATGAAAGGCAGAACAAAATGAGTGGAGAAAGTGGACAAAGGGGTCTTCAAAGAAATCGGCAAGAGACCAAAATGTTTAGTCATCTAGGTCCTCATCAATCCTGGAGTGAAACCTTTTAGTAATTCCTTTGGTGTTTCAATTACTCCCTCTGTCCCATTTTATAAGTCCTTTTTAACTATATCATCAAGATTAAGAAAGTTAGTTAGGGCTAAAAATTTTATGTAGTTTTATATTGTTCTTCTATTTTTACCCATATACTTTTTCCCCCACTCATTCTATCTCCTCCTATTCTCTTTCTTAACTACCCTACCACTTTCAAGGCTAATTTTGGAAACAACTTATAAATATGCAATGGGTTTGATAATGGGACTTATAATTTGGGACAAATAAAATTTCTAGAAGGGGGCTTATATTTAGGGACAAAGGGAGTAACATTTAGTATATAGAAAGATGGGTTTGATTTTTGGGAGAATAAACGTTGCTTTTTTTGGAAGAGAAAAGAAACAAAACCATAAAAAGCAATTAATGTCAAATTACTTAAAAGGTTGAGCAATTAGAAAAGTAGGCATGAAAGGCAGAACAGAATGAGGGGGAAAAGTGGACAAAGGGGTCTTCTAAAAAAGTGACAAAAGACCACAATGTTTAGTTATTTAGACTTTCTTATTTAAAAAACAATTTCTTTTGTCTTGAATTATAAAAAGGTAAAAGCTTTTCAAGGTTTTGGGTCCCACATCATTGAGTGAGATGTAGTCATTAAAGTAGAAGCATGTGAGATTAAAATTTATTGACGCCATTACTTGTTTATTACCCTAATTTACACCCAGGGGCTGTTTGGTTACCCTTCATGATATATTCCCCAGTGGAATGACATTACTGACAGTAATGGGATTACCAGGAATGTATACCACAATGTTTTTGGTTGGCACACCTCAGTAATGTCATGGTAATTGTCACGCCCTTAGCCGGAAGTCGAGCACGGACAACCGTCGCGTTACCTCGAAACACGTGCCAACCGGTCACGCGCACCAAGGCTCCACGAAATGTCAATACCTGATTAAAAACAAGGAAAACATGAATTGATTATAAATGTCAAATACATAAGTTTCAAAATCAGAGTAAAAGCAAAATCGTCAAAATCAACACAATAATAAAAACGCTATAGCATTTAAAATCAAAATCTTATACCAATAGAGAAAACAACAGTAGAGATGCAATTCGAAAACGAGGAGCAGAAGATAACAAGGAACAAAGACAACTGCCACTGGGACCCATCACGTAGTGAGAAGTACCTCTGACAGCAGGATCACATCCTACGCCACGAACTCGATCGTAAAAAAAATGATGGGTCCTAACTACCCTAAAAACATAACAAGAAATTGAGGGGTGAGTACACGAATGTACCCCATGAGTGAGCCACCCTCAAAAGAGGACCAGAAGAGGGTGGGATGTCCTCACAACCAAAACTATTCATAAAACAGTTAATAACAAAACCAAGTAGTAGTATCAAAACCAAGCATATAAATCCAGTTACTCGGTTTAAAACAAGGGGCTGCCATCAAAACATATCTGAAGTAACCTTCGCCCGAGTCAGTCTCCGGAACCGTCAAGGGCATTTTTATCATCATCATCAAATCATCAGTAAATACCACTTTTCTTATTTTTCCAACAACAAGCCCGTTGTCCTGACGTTGGCCTGGGTCCGGCACTAAGCGGTGGCCGCAGCACACCCAGTTTAGCTCCCTAATGCACACGCCGAATCGGTATATAAATATGGCGTGTCGGGCCTGGAGCGACGGACCATGTGGATCCAAACTCAACTCATGGTCCACCAATCAAGTCTAACTACTAGCTAGTAAATCACCAAATCAGCCACACGTACTCCCTGGGCTGCATCCAGTTCACGAGTCCCCGTATGCTTACCAACAGTTCAAAACCATTTTCAAAGATCGCTCATGCACCCAAAACAATTTATTAAAACCATTTATAAAACAATTTAATAAAACAGTAATAAAATAGTTCCTCAACGGGTTCTCCGTTGAAGATAGCCCACTCACAGTTCAGGTGACTCGTACACCCCAAAACTCAATCCACTGTGAGACTAGCTGGTGTCTCGATTAGCGCCTCAGCCGCCTGATTGAGAAGCACGTCCTTCACAAGGAAAATCGTTAAAACCAAAGTAATACACAAAGATATCAAAATAGTTAGATAAAACAGAATAAATCACAAAAAGCACATAACCCAAACCCACGGTCTAATGTCGAGGAGTTTAACGCGACAATTTATGTTTTATAGGGTTCAAATACGAGTTTCAGATTCATAATACACTTTCTAGATTTTATTTGATCATATCATGACTTTAAGGGAAAAACTGTAATTTTACTCGATCAGGGGCAAATACGTAATTTTAACATCTTAAAGCTGATACGGTAATCCTTTAACCTTACATGTTCAATTATCATGTTTAGATAAGCCAAATCCTTTTATAAGGGCAAAATTGTAATTTTACAGTAATGCCATGAACCTGTTTGGTTACTAGGAATGTTTTGCACCTACAGTCCAGAGATTACAAAAATACCCTCATTCAGTACTTAACAAAATTTCACAAGTATAAGCCAAAAAAATTATTTTTTTTCTTGCAATATTTCACAAGTATTTGACAAAAATGATTGCCTTTTTTTTCCTGCAATATTTCATGAGGCAACAATGATTGCCATTCTTTCATGAAATATTTCACAAACTATATGGACTTCAAATGTTTCCCAAAATAAACATTTAAACTTGAATCTAAAATGAAACCATATTAAACTAATATTTCATAAAGTTAATTATAGAAATTGTTTTTGAAATGGCAAACATATACCAAAAGTTTCAAATGGCAGCCATTTAACATGTACAGAAAGGCAATGTTTGAATTTGTCATGGGCCCTTAAACATAACTGCCTAACAAATGTTTGTTAGAAAATTCAAGAAGACATTATATGCAATGTCAGACCCCCTCAATTATCAAAATGCACAAACCATCTTCTGACAGACCCTTGCAACCTACAAATCCTTAGCAAGATCCTTAGCAAGCTCATCAACCTACAAGGCAATTTAATTTTAGAAATTAATAATTTACAAAAAACAATTAAGAAAACAACAAAAAATTCAAATTTCAGTTCACAAACAACAAATTTCTAGGCAATACACTGTCAAATTGTCGAATCTAACACATAAAACAAAAGCCCAATTTAATTTCATAAACCCTAACCCAAAATCCCAATTTCAGTTTCGAAACCCTACCCAAATCCCAAAATAATACAAGAAATCCAACAATCATCCAACTGTCAAACTTGAATTCAAAACCGAAACTCAAAAAACCAAATTGGGGCAAAACAAAACGGTGCAAGAAGAACTTACAAGTCAGAGCGAAATAATTATCAAAGTAACATCAGCACCAGAAACTGGAAAGCCTTTGTCGACCCACCAGAAGTTCAATGAAGACGAAGAGCAAGTAAAATCAGAAGCAGAGGGACAGTTGAGGGAATGACAATGAAATGAAATTCACAACGTTGGCATGAGCATGTGTAAGCCGACGGTTTTCCAAGGAGAAAGAGAATTAAAATCATACCATCGGCTTGAAGTAATCAAGGCCGATGGTGTCTTTGTTATCAAATTGGCCTTAGTTTCTAATTAAGGCCAATAAGCAAGCAGAGCACTAATACAAAGCAATTTAATGGAGAATAGTAATAATCGTGTCAAGTAGAAAAAAGATCAAGCATTCATACATGGAAAAGTTGACTAATTGATCACAATTTAGTTCAAATTGATGTTGACATCTTAAGTTCAGGAGGATGATGGGAAATCAGAATCAATTTGGAGTTGACGTTGAAGACAATATCAATTTGTCGTCATGATAATTGAAAATTGACAACGTGATTACTATCTTGGAAGATTAATACGATGATTCCTTGACTTGGTGGATTCAGATTGTCTAAAATACTTGTCTCTCAACTTAGACTCTAGTCTACATTTCTAATCTTTTCTTGTCAATTTTGTTTGCTCATCAATTTCAGTTGATTGTAACCGATTTCGATATCAATACAATCTTTCTCCATTTCATTTCAATTTCTACAAACTTGTTTACCTGATAATTAGTCTAAAATCTGGGTTAAATGATTAAAACCATCTTGGTGACTTTTACCCAGGCTGCACAAATCGTCTGATCCTTATTCTATTGCATTCAAGTTACACTTGCCTTGACTTTGTCAATTTTGCTACAAATTGACTGGCACGCCCCTCTACCTAAAGCTCCAGAGAGATTTTGGCGCAACATTACCCTCATTATTTTAATTATTAATAATTTTTATAAGTAGAGAAAAAAAATCTTAATAAATGGTTTCTTTTTTTTTTCTAAAACACAATGATAATGAGTCTCAAATTTTGAGATTTAACCTTCTAAAAAATAAAACAACTTTATATTTGGGGCTAAACCTTATTTATAAGTGTTCAAACTTATTTTTCTAAAACCCTAAGATAGTGGGTCTTACCATTTGAGATTTACCCTTAAAAAAAAAATAGGCTAAACCTTATTTAAAAGTGTTCAAACTTATTTTTCTAAAACCCTAAAATAATTGGTCTTAAAATTTAAGATTTACCCTAAAAAATGAAACATATTTATAATTAGGGCTAAAACTTAATTATTTTTATAAAAAGTATGAAAAATATATTCTTAATTAAATGTGAGTAAACATTAAACATATTAAAAATGCTTAAGGGTTAAGGGTATTATAGTACTTAACAACTACACACAAACCTAAAACTTTGAATATTAACTTAAAACCACAAAAAAGTAAATTATAGATATATGATTTCCAACCCTGGACTCAACAATGTGGGATTCTTTCCACTCCTTAACATGAATCCGCCTTTTAATTAAGGGTTGGGACTGTTTTTTTGAGAGGGTTCTTCCAAGGTCTTGAATCCTTCTCTCAACAAAAGCACCGATGTTGAGTCGTGGGTCGGAGAATGTGTCCTTTATGAGGTATTGTCCCCTTTGAGAAGGGGTTTTGCCCTTTGATAAAAGGCGCCTCGTGAAGGAAGGGGTGGTCCTTGCCAAATCTTCAGCTTTCTTATGGAGTTCTTCAAATTGAGAATGAAGCGCTTGTTCCGATGCATCCTCCACGGAACTGTGAGATTCGATCTTCCTCATTAAATGGTGATAACCACTAGCATCAAACTTCTTGCTGAAAGATTTAAATCCTCTATGTCGCAGCAAGTGGGCAACATCAGCTTCATCCTTTCCCACATACTAAACGAATTCCATCTTACGCATGGACTCAATAAACCTAATTTTTTTCTCCAATTTCAGCACCCTCCGTGTTATCTTCTCAAGTAGAATTATCTTTCTCTGCCGATATATTTTGATCCTTCTAAGATGAATTCTTGAAGGATGTCCTCTGGGGTTTCATATTTCTTGATTCTTCCCTTGGAATAAAAAAGAACCATTTTTTAGTGATAATCGTTTTAAATAGCTTAAACTGATTCTTCAAACCACGTAGCTTAGCTTCTGATCGGTCGTCAGCAATCATAAAAATAATCCCCACAAAAACCTAACTAAGTAGATAGGGCAAGTAGGGGTCGATCCCACAGAGAAGGGGAATACACTTATCCCAAGAATAAATCTTTTCCAAAAATTACTTTTAAAATAGAAAACAGGGGATTGAACAGAATAATCATAAAGAAAACAAATTTAACTAAAAACAAAGCAAAGTAAATTAAATCTAAATCTATAGCAATTTATAAAGAAAACAATAATTAAAAGGCATACTTCTTCTCCAATGGTAGAAATCAATCAAATTAACTATGGATCCTTGATTAAAAAGATGAATTCAATATTGTATTCTTGATGACAGTTGGTTTAGGGAAACCCTAACATGTATATTAGATAAAATGTCGGCTAAAGCTAAATTATCCCTTTTATTCCTTCAGCAATTGATTACTGTTTTAGGGCTTAAAGATTACTTAAGAACAAAGCATTAAGAACAATTAATTTATTAGTTTTTCACACATGCTTAACAAGTAAAACCAAACGATAAGCAAATAAATCACCCACTGGTAAACTCGTCCCATTGAGTTGCAACTAAGCATCCCCAAATTGTTACCAAACAATCAAACTCAGGCGTTACCCATATTGTTTGATTTAACTATAGATCCATCAAATTATATCATTAGTCGCGACTCTAAATCCACAATCATCAAGATCATAAAATAAAACAGAGACTCGCTTACTATCTAATCAAGAACAAATATCAAATTATAAGCACAAAAATCTCACCATAATCAATTGATTGAAATCACCAAAGGATGAGAAGTATTAAGAATTTAGCTACTCATGGATTTTCCCAAATCTATGAGAGGCATAAGAAAACTTACAAGACCTTGAAGGGGAGGAATCTCCTTAGCCTTCAACAAGGGGTATCGCACCTCTCTATGCAAAGAAAGTTGTCGACTCCCTTAACCTAAAACTAGAGAAAAAAAACTAGAATATTTTCTAAGAAAAAAAATAATAAGAGTTGTTGATGTGTGTGTGTTTTGTGTTACATAAGGTGGCTATTTATAGTGGACTAATTAGACTCCAAATAGACTTAGGAATAGCCTAGGACGGTTTAGAGGCTGACTTGGTCTCCAAGTTGGCTTAAAAGTCTTCCTAGAGCCGAAATCCAAGTGAAAATAGGACTCTAGAAAATTCTGGAATCGCACAGCAACTCCGACAGCAATTTCGGGCTTGAATATGGCAGAACTGGGCTTTGGACTTCAAACGAAAGTTGTAGATCTCAGAATTAGCTTTCCAACTTGGATTTGGGCTTTGGGTTTTACTCATAAGCCTAAAACGGACATCTGAGCAGAAAGTTATGGCCTTTTTACAGAGACTGCGCTGAATCCTAATCCAACTAGGACTAGTATCGAAATTATGCGGGAATTGGATATTTCCTTGGATATATGCAGCACAAATTGGGATTTTAACTCCAATTGTGGGCTTATATGGGCTGAGTATTATCCCATATAAAATATCCAAAATTCCAAGGCTTCCGGGCTTCTTCAGGGCTTGTCTTCAATCCTTTGCAATTAGAGCTCCAATCTTCAATTCTTGCTTCTTGAGATAATTATTCAATGGTCTTCAATTCTTCAAATTATCTTCAATAAATCTTCAAACACGAACTTCGAATCTTCAAATCTTCACTCCAAATTGCTAAGTTCATATTTGAGTAAAAAGTCATCAAAATAGCTCCAAAAAGAGTGAAAAACAACAAGTTTCCAATTTTCTTCTCTTTAAGACCTAAAAACACAAATACTTATAAAATAGGGTTAAAATACACATAAAAATACTAAAAAGCATAGGAAAATGATCATAAAAATAGGGTCTTTTTTTGGCTCGATCAGCTTCTTTCATCTGTTCCTTTGTCAAGAAAACTTCTAAGTTCACTGATAAATCGGTACAGTGTGAATCATCATATCTCAGAAATCTAGGTGGATTTTTTGGTGACATTTTTTTCAAGTCATCCTTATATTCCTCAGTCCACACGCCAATCGGTATCTCTATTATCTTAACTGTGGTGGTCTCAACCTCCTCTATATCTCCAATGGTATTGTAGCTACCTTTCTCAATTTTCTTCATAATTTTCCCTTTGTACTTTCGGTACCATGGAAGCATAGGAAGCATTGGAGCCATCCAACAACAGCCTCATAATTTTAATCATATCTTGTGAGTTAAAGTTTGGAATGGAAGATCTCCACGTTGTCTGAACAATTTGTGACAAAATATTTCTATCGCAAAACATTGGTCGCTATATTTAGGAACTTTACTTGTAGTGCCTGTTTTATTTCCTTCTTTTCTCATATTGCAAATTAAACTATAGAAATAGTAGAGCATATGCATACTATGTTCTTATCTTTATCAAACAACAATATTGATTCTCGCTATTGTTCCTTAAAAATATACCAGCTAATTACTAAAAAGGAAACAAATCACCTCTACTATCTATCAAAGATTACATAATTTTACTCGTACAAATTCGGAAAATTATAAATTGGTATCATGACTGCTTGCATGTAAAACTACAATTCAACTTCCTTGGACTCTTCAATATATTTCTAAATCTCTACTCTCTAAGAATATGTTCACGGAGTCAGCAGAGAAGCTAAACCCCCCCCCCCCCCCCCAAAAAAAAAATACCATGAGTCATGTGTGCACACATATATTCAAAAAACACCATTGTAAAATACATAACATAAAGATTAGTTTAAGAAATCCGACTTACTATACAATCAGCAGATCCACCATGGCTTTTAAGGTCCTTCTTCAAGTCGTCAAGTATCTCTGCATACCTTTTACAAAATAAGAAAAAAATACAAAAAAAAATGAGAACAAACATCGGGGCATGATGGTTGCAGATGCTCATTAATAAGTAGTTAGACATTGTTTTATGAGACGGATGGTGACATTGAAGTTTTGCCAAAAGAAAATTGTTGATAATATAAAAATCATATGCACTTGAAAACAATGAGATCATTTGTAAAGCCAAAGAATTTTAGGGCGGCAATATAGGCAATACCTTTGAGCATATTTCTCAACTCTAGTTTGAGAATCAGGTGATTGAAGTGATGAGCAAATCATTATCTAACCTTCTAAGCTTAAGCTACAAGTTTTTTCTCTGAGCTCCCCTATTCTGACCATATACAACAATGAAGTAAAATTTATGATTATCAACAGCAATGGTAATACATTGCTCATCAATATCTACACAACCAATAGTTAACTCTTTCTTCCAAAGTATCCAAATTCTACCATTCAAAGCCTCAGAGTAATTATGTACAAAATCCCAAACAGAGAAATGCTTGGAAATAATACGATCACAATTATGGGATTTTACCCGAGTTTCAAGCATGCAAATAATGTCAGCATGTGATTTCTTAAATCTACTAACTACTTCATTCTATCTAGAGAGGTTATTAATACCTCGAACATTCCAAAATGCAATATTCATTGAGAGGTTGAAGGTAAAGAACTAGAATAGCTAGACTGAGAATCTCTTAAATTTTTTGATGAACCTTTCTTAGGGGGACTTCTTTTCCTAGGTTTAACTTGCTTCATAACCTCTGCAACCCTTGCCTTCCTTGGGGGAATTTTTTCCCCTGGAAATTCAGCAATATTATCATCTACTACTACTACTTCAGAAATATCAATATTTTCCAATACCGTGAAACGCTTATTTGAAGCCTTTGATCATGATGAGAATTCGCAACCATCTTTCCCTTTTCAATAGTTTTAGCTTGTTCTGCAATGGCTACCTCAAATGACATGGCTTTCTCAACTGATAATGGAGGAAAACTATCCATAGAATGCAAATCTGGTTGCTCCAAAGGCAAAACAAGACAGTCTATGGGAGGGGGAGTCTTCTCTCTGACAGGCTCAACAACTTCAGGAATCCATTGTTTCTCCATCATATGCACCTCAACTTTTTTAAAACAATCTTGGTGCCCAAAAACTTTGCATTTTGGGCATTTTGAAGGCTTCCAAAGAATCTTTACTCCAATTTTGGCAACAGAACCATCCTTCAATTCATGTGAGAAAAATTTCTCAATTAAGAAAATATTGAAACAAGACTTTGAGGCGCCAAGCTTTCTCAAATACAATATTGCCTAACTATTTTAGACAAGTCGTATTTGGGATACAACAAAGCCACTTGAGAACATTCAGAGAGAAGTAGAATTATTGGTTCTGTCTCTTGAAATGTTTATGTGAAAGCCTCCTTATATACTTGATCAACATACATGTCTTTTCATATAGACATAACTTTATGATCAATACATGTCTTTCCAAATAGACATAACTTTATGAATAATTATATCATAAAGATACCTTTTATAGACAAATAAGTCTCTTCATAGTTGTTCACTTATGAACAAATGCCTTCAATAAACATCAACATTCAAAAAATATCCAACAATCCCCCACTATTTTGGAATGTTGGTTTTTTGAACTTTACCAATCAAGTATTTTCAAATTAATTCCCCCACTAGTTTGTTGACTTGAAAACCATAATTCACTTATAAGCATAGTGCATACAAGAAGGATTCTACGAATTGGACCTTCAATTAGTGTAAGCATTTCAGGACTCTAACGAAGTACATGGTGTCCGAAGATTGAACCATGACTCCTTTCGTCTAGGGTCGGAAACACCACACACACTATACTTAAGTTCTTCTAACAAGATTTCTCGTTTGCTTCTAGCACTATGACTGGCCATGTGCTAGCGATCCATTTTCTATGAATATGTACAAGAATAAAACCCTTTCATACTCTTGTTGAAGCGGCACCACTTCATATTCATATAGGTGGAGTCACTTGTTGTTGATTTATTCCTAACAACCTCTTATTGCTCCATTAAGAGTTTAATAACTCATCCTCTCTTATTCCATTAGTACTAACAACTTTAATTCAATATGGGACATAGTTAGCACTTTGATACAAACATGCCAATAACTTGTTATTACCACATTGAACCTCAGTCTATAACCGGTTTGGTCAAGCGAGGTTGGGTTCCCATCATTGGTGTCTAAGGGTTATATTTTAATCCCATACTACTTGTAGTCTCCCACACTTTATCTCTAGGCAATGCCTTAGTTAACGGATCCGATAAATTCTTTGTTGAATTTATGTAGGAGATAGTAATCGTTCCATTAGAGATTTTATCTCTAACACAATCATAAGGATTTATTAATCCCAAACTTTATTACATTTATGCATATTACTAATATGCTTTAAACATTCATGATCCAAGGAAATAGTTGGCATTGGTTGTGGCCACAACACTATACTCATTGTTTAATTTCAATCAATCTATTTCCTTAATCATATCCATCAAAAATTTCTTATGGTACAAATGGATAATTTCCAAGAAATATACAAAGTCTTTTAGTCCTTTTAGTTAAAGTAGGACTTTCCAAGGACTTTCATCAATAAATTTTTTTTTTTAGAGAAAAATTCATCTTTCATTGATATCAAATGTCAAGGTTACAAACGGGCAGAGGTAATCCGCACCAAATATAATTAGCTCCTACATTACAATCCAAATGAGCCAAACTATGTGCTAAACGATTAGCAACCCTATTAACATGCTTAAAAGAACAGTAAGAAAAATAAGAAACGAGTAATCTAATTTGACTAATCAGAGACCCTCCCTCCCATAAGGATAAGTTTTTCTTATTTATTTCTAAAATCGCTAAACTGCAATCACTTTCAACCTCACAACTTGTATAACCAAAAGAATAAGCCAAAACCAAACCAAAACGAATCGCGTATACTTCCGCAAAGAGGACACTTGTGACCCTATCAATCTTTGTTGTACCAGATAGCAGAACTCGTCCTGTATAGTCTCGAATCACTGCGACTAATACCGCTAGACCATCCGCTTGGTAAAATGCTGCATCCGCATTAATCTTGACTAGTCCATTAGCTGGTGGCTGCCATACCCGCTGCTCTTGAATTGGCCTCCCAATTGCTCGCCTATTAGACGCATCAAAGTCGAACATAAACCTGTTTACCGCTAAACAAAGTGACTGAGGAAGCTTACAAACTTGCTCATACAGTGCTTTATTCCGATTTGACCAAATCATCCACAAAACCATACACACAACATCCAAAGATCCCAGCTGACTTGCTTTAGACAACAAACAATCCCAAAAGTCCTCCCTATCCACCCAATTACAATAGACACAGGAAGCCATGGACTAATAATATCCCATACTATCTTACTAAAGACACAGTCAAAAAATACATGGTAGAGATTATATTCCACCCCTCCACAAACAGGGCAACTCTGGTCGATTGGTATTCCTCGTGACTGCAATTGCGATTTGGTCGGCAAAATACCATGAATAATACGCCACATAAAAAAACTTCACTTTTGGAACCACATTAGCACCCCAGATTAACCGCCACATTACTGACCTTGCTCCCACCTCTGCAACTTCTTTACCTAAAATCCTTCGCACAACATGGTAACCACTCCGGACCGTATAATGACCATCTACCGAATGGTTCCAAATCAACCTGTCCGTAGAAGAAAAATGCAGTGGTATACATAAAATTCTATACACATCCTCATCCTCAAACAACTCAGATAATAAATCCTCATCCCAATACCCATCATTATTAAATAGGGATGAGACAGGATTATTCTGCAAAACTATCCCAGGACGAGGCGCTGGTTGGTAAGACGACGGTTTTGCCAACCATCTATCCCTCCAAATATCCACAGTTTGGCCATTTCCAATCCTCCATCTGGATCCGGATCTGATAACTTCTCTACCAGCTAACAGACTTCTCCAGACAAAAGATGGATTATGCCCCAAAGTAGCCTGCATAAAAGAACTTCGATAAAAATACTTCGCTTTCAGAACCTGAAAACAAAGCGAATTACCATCCTGAATAAGACGCCAACACTGCTTCGCAAGTAAAGCCATATTAAAAGATTCAAAATCCCGGAATCCCAAACCTCCATCCAATTTTGAAGTGCATAAAGAATCCCAAGCCTTCCAATGAATCTTGTTTCTAGAATCCGTACTCCCCCACCAGAATTTAGCAATAAGCATATTTAGCTCATAAAGAAAAGTTTTCGGAAACCGAAAACAGCTCCTCAAATACGTCGGAATCGCCTGGGCTATGGACTGTATCATTACCGCCTTACCTGCAATAGACAACAACTTGCCACTCCAGCTCCGAAGCTGCTTCCATAATCTATCCTTTATAAGATGAAACTCCACACTTTTGGATCTTCCAATCATAATTGGTAAACCCAAGTATCGGTCTCGATCTAATACTTTTTGAATCCCCAAATGATGCATAATAATCTCCTGTAAATCACCTGGCGTGTTACAACTAAACATCACCGCTGATTTATCTATATTTACCTGCTGTCCAGATGCTAACTCAAACTGGCGCAATAAATCCAGCACCACATCACACTCTTCCGAACTCGCACGTAAAAAGAGAAGACTATCGTCTGCAAAAAATAAATGCGAAATGCGTGGAGCATACCTGCTCACTGCTACTCCATGGATTCTATCATTCAACTCTGCTCGTTGCAATAAACAAGACAAGCCTTCCATGCAAAACAGAAAGAGATATGGAGATAATGGATCCCCCTGTCGGATTCCTCTCGAGGGTACAAAAGATTCTGTTCGCCTACCATTAACAAGAATGGAATACGTAACAGTTCTTAGACACTCCATAACCAGAGAAACCCATCGATTAGAAAATCCTAATCGAGCCATAATCCGTTCAAGAAAAACCCATTCAACTCGATCATATGCTTTACTTAGATCTAACTTAAGCGCCATATGCTTCTCTCCACCACTCCTTTTATTCTTCATATAATGAATTGATTCGAAAGCAATGATTGAACTATCGAAGATCATTCTCCCCGGCACAAATGCACTTTGGTTAGGATCGATAATGAACGGCAACACTTCACGAAGTCGGTTAGCCAGAGTTTTTGACACAATCTTAAAAATAACATTGCATAGGCTAATAGGACGATAGTCCCTAACCGAGCTAGGATGATCTATTTTCGGAAGAAGTACCACATCTGTCTGATTAACATCGGGCAAAGAGACTCCTGAATTCAAAAATGCCAATGCCATCTCACTTACTTTTGCCCCGACAACATGCCAGTACTTCTGATAGAATAATGGAGGCATACCATCTGGTCCGGGTGATTTATCCGCTCCCATGTCAAAAGTAGCTACTCGAATCTCCTCCATTGTAAACTCACGAACCAATTGAGCATTCATATCAGCTGTAACTCGTCTCTCAACAACTCCAAGCACTTGCTCAACATCCGAATGCAATGGTTTGCTGGAGGTAAAAATATCCTTGAAATACGAACATACTACATGCTCCATAGAAGCCAAATCCGTTTGCCACTCTCCATTCGCATCCTGAATCGATGATATAGTAGTCTGATTCTTTCTCGAGTTGACGATGGAATGGAAAAATCTCGAATTCCTATCACCCTCTCGAAGCCAGGATACCTTTGATCTCTGCCGCCACATTGATTCCTCTCGATCATAAAGTTCATGAATATCATTCAAACAATCATTTAAAGGCCCAGATAAACCATTCCTTTGTGCTTCCTTATAGTATCTTTCCAGATCCCTTTTCTTCTTCCTGATCGAATAACGCACATTACCAAACACCGTCTTGTCCCAATGCTGCAAGGATTGGGCACAACTAGCAATGCGTTGTTGTATAGACATCTCCTGCTGAACATTCCAACTGCCATTAATGATTGTTTGGACTCCATCATGAGTTAACCACATACGCTCAAAACGAAATCTATGGTTGTAATGTATCCCAACCCAAGGCTTATCCAAAATTTCGATATGAAGAGGCAAATGGTCAGACTCCGAGGACATAACTACATGAACAAACGAAAACTGAAACAATTCAACCATTCCTCCGTTACAAAACATCTGTCGAGTCTCTCAAAAAGGACATCTCCTTGCATACGCCTTGACCAAGTCATCAAAGGACCCTTTATAGGCAGATCTCTAAATTCACAAAATTCAACTGTAGCCCGAAACATCTCCATTTGCCGCTGAGACCGCGGTGGTCCTCCAATCTTCTCATCATTGGTGAGTATTTCATTAAAGTCACCCACACACATCCATGGTAATGTAGATTGTTCTGAAAGTTGTCTAAGTAAATCCCAGGATTCATGTCGCCTACTTGTTTCTGGACGACCATAGAAACCTGTTAACCGCCATTCTCTATTTGTGGAGCTACGAACATTAGCATCAATATGAGATGAAGAAAACGAAACAATATTAATCAAAGACGGATCTTGCCAAAGCAAAGCAAGACCCCCAGCTCTACCTATACAATTAACTATAAAACAGCAGTCATAACCCAAACGACACCGTATCCATTCCATTTCATTACTAGTTCGTTTAGTTTCTGACAAAAACAAAATGGAGGGCTTATTACATTTAACTAATTGAGATAAAACATGAATTGCCCGAGATGCCCCCAATCCCCGACAATTCCAAGCTAAACAACTCATGG